CACCCAGGTCCACGTGGCCCCGGAACGGAGAGGATGCTCCTGGGGCAGCTGAGAGGAGGGAGGAGGAAAGAAAGGCAAGAAACAGTTGGAGCCGGCAAGCTAGGGCACATGAGGGGGCTAAAGCAGGAGCCCAGGGGAAGAGGCCACCCTGCGCTTTGCCCAGGGCCACCTCGACAGGCAGTGGGGACACGGGTGGCACTGGGAGCTGGGGCTGGACCTGGACACACCTGGACACCCACCTGCTTTCCCCAGGCCACTCACCTCCTGTCCTCTTCGTATTTCGACCTAGAGAGAGACGGGGAAAGAAAGAAGAGAGGGTTTGGAAGGGGCTCCTGCACCCAGGCGCCGGGAGAAGCCATCCCTGGGGATTCCCTCCCTCCTGTTACTCCATCCCGCACGGAGCACCGGCTCCCAGCTCTCCCGCCACGCTCCAAGGGCAAATCCGTGGAGCCAGGGAGGCAACGGGACCAAGGACCCTGCGCCAAATCCCTCTCCCAATGCTCCATCCCGCAAACCCAGGGAACAAGGAGCTGCCCGCGGCACAGGCTGGCACTCACAGGATGTCACCCAGCTGGGCTAGCTGCTTCTCGGCCACTTGCCGCTCCTTCTGCGGGTCCCCGTCCAGCTCCAGGAGGTCGTTCTCGCCGTACAGGCTGCCCAGGCCCATGGTCCGCTTCGTCCTGCGGAGGCGGGGGGAGGAGCCAGGGCCACCCGGGTGACAGGGGCCCCGCGTGGGCAGCGCCGCAGGGAGGAGCACGAGGAACAACACGGGGGGTGCCCAGGCCACCCTGTCACCTGTAGTCCTGGATCTGCTCCTGGATCTCAGGCATCACCATCTCCTGAGCTTCAAAGAGGGCGACTCGGACATCGTCCCCGTAGCGCAGGCGAGTCTCTGGGGACACGAGACGACAGCCAGCGTCACCAGGAGGGCTCAGCGCCCGAGGAAGGGAGCAGAGGGTTTTCCAGGGACTCCGGAGGGCGGGTAGGGAGACCTCGGGAGCCTTCCCGGAGGCTCCTCCCTGCTCTTTGCTCCCTGGAGCTTTGGCTCCCCCAGGCAGGGACTCTCTGGCTCCCCTTCAGACTTGAGACATCCCCTCCTGGTAGGGAAGGGATCTCCTGCAGCAGATTTTGCGGGACAGCAAGGACAGAGCTGGGAAAGGACCGAGGTGCCCCGGTTCCAAACACATTCCCTCTCTAGCAGGGCCAAATGCTGGAGAGCAGAGGACTGCCTGCCCCCCTTCCATGCCAGGAGGGTCCTGATGAAGCCCTGTGGCATTGCCATGGGCAAGGTGACAGTGCCAGCTGGCACACAGAGAGGGGCTGTGGATGTCACCTCCTCCTCACTCACCGATTTCAGCCAGGAGCTGCTCGGATACCTTCACTCGGAGAGGCTGCGGAGAGAGGAGCAGCAAGAGGGCAGTTCAGCAGAGCAACGCGGGGAACGTGGCTGCAAGGGGCTGCGGAAGCGCTTCCCGGAATAATGGGATAGTGTGGGATTGAAGGGGATCCCACCCTTGGACGACACCGCTCCAACAACCCAGCACAACGTTCCCTGTGCACGCGCAACCGCCTGCATCCATCCTGCATCTCTGAGCAAGCAGCTCCACGCACGGGGAGGCCACAGGGAATTGCAACCTTGGAAGGTTTTCCAGCTGCTCGATTCCCATCTCCTGCAGGAGCCAGGGTGGCCATGCAGGATCCCAACCGAGCCGGCCCTCACCGCGTTCCTGTCCAGGAAGATGTTCCAGATGTCCTTGGCCAAGCCCCGGGAATCCTTCGTGGGCGTCTGCTGGCAAACGTCCGCGCACAAGTAGAACAGCTGCGAGGATGGGAGACCAGGGAGGACGGGCAGAGGGCGAGAAGGGGGAAGAGGAAGAAACAGGAAGGAGAATTACTCAACACGGCAGCGGCCGGAGCGCCGCGAAACAGGAAACGACCGCGGGGATCTCGGCAAGGGCAGGACCCGCCGCGGTGCCGAGGACAGGACGGGGAGGCAGCGAAACCCCGCGGTGCTCGGCCCTCCCGCACGGGCACACGGCCGTGCAAAGCGCTGCCACGGCAAAGAGGAGAGGGGTAGAAACGCTCCGGTGCTCCCAGGGAAAACGGGAAGGTGACCGAGGCACCACCCGCCTGGCTTTGTCCCCAGTGCCACTTACCAGGGGGCTGGGATCTGCCTGGGAGAAGATGTAGCGCAGGAAGACGCCCAGATGGGCCGGGCGGGATTTCAGCTTTCCCAGGTCTTGGAAGAGGGAGTCGCACTGGGCAAGGAGGAGAGCCAAAGGAGGACGCTCCAGTTAGGGAGGCAAGGAATGAATCCCTCAGGAATAGCTCATCCCCAGGGGAAATCCCTGCGCGGGCAGGGCCGCTGGTGGCAGCAGAGCTTCCAACTTAGCGGGAGTCCGGAATGCCACCGCTCTCCGGGTGCCAGGGCACAGGGAGCTGCACAGAAGGGCCACGGAGAGACAGGCCAGAGCCAGGAAGCTCCCGGGACGCTGTTACCTCGTTATTGAAGCACCCCGGCTCGTAATCCTCCTCCGGGCCGATGATGAGGGGCCGCGCCGCCCGCTCCAGGCCCTGCGGGGGACACGGGACGGGTAGGACGCGCCGGGCTCCGCGTCGAGGCCGCTCGGAGGCTCCGGTGCCCTCGGCGCCCACCTGCTCGGCGGCGAAGGCCGTGTCGGAGCCCTGGCGCCGATGGCGCTGGCACGCGCGGGCCGCGACGACGGGGGACGTGCGCGGGCTGTCCACGCCGTGGTCGGAGAGGACGGAGTTGCGGTTCAGGGAGACCTGCTCGGGACACGGCGCCGCCGTCACGGGACGCCCCGGGCGCTCCCGAGACCTTCCCAAAGGCTCCAAGGAGCCTTCCGCAAACCCTGGAGGGTTCTTGGCGTTGCAAGAGGAGCTAAGAGGAGCTCCAGGATCAGGAACACAAACTGGACCCTAAGGCTTCAGGGCTGATGCAGCCGTGGCAGGTGAAGGCCATTCAGAGCCAGGGCTGCCTTAGGGGAAATGCAGCTTTTTAAGAGCTATATAAATAATTAACATTGCCAAACGAGGCCCCTGACTCCTAACAGCCCCGAGGGCAGGATGCCCAGAGCCCTACATCTAAGCCAGGCTGTAGTTTCCATCCACCTCGGGCTAGATATAAAGATATCTATAGACATAAAAATATCTATAGATACAAAGATATCCAGATATGAAGATATCTATATGATATAGATATTAAGATATTAAGGTATCTATATCTAGACATTGTTAGGCTTTTGGTCCCTGCCCTGGGAGGCAGCGACCCTGCTCCTACCTCGCTCACGGAGGGGAACCGCTCCGTGCCCGACTCCAGGCCACTGTCGCCATCCTGGGAGTCCAGGGAGAGGCGTCCTGGGAGCAGAGAACAGAGTGAACCCCAGGAAAGCACCAGGAGGGCCCGTACGGATCGGGAAAGGGGCAAAACCCCCCAAACTCACCTTCGGCAGCCCGGGAATTGGCCAGGCCGGTGTCCCCCGCGAGCCGCCCCAGATCCTGGAATGGGAGGACGCGCGTTGGAGCAGCGGGATGTTACCCGGCGCGTGAGGACACCCGGGCACGGAGCGGAGGATCCTCCGGCCCACCGTGGCTCCCGGGAATCGCAGGGAGTTTGGGAGACCGGGAGCAGCTCCTTCTCCTGAGCAGCCCCCGCGGAGATGGGTCACGCAGCCCAGTCTCCCCTGTTCCCGCTGTATCCCTGCTATTCCCGCTGTGTCCCCCCTGCTCCCGCTGCATTCCGTAGTTTCCTTGGCCCGGGAACAGGAGGGAAGCGGCGTCACCTTGCTGTGACGGGCTCCAAGCCGGACGGTGACGCGACAACAGACCGAGCAGCCGCTCTGCGAATTCCCCGCGCAATTCCAGGGAATGCCACGTACCACGGAGCCGCCGGTCTCCTGCAGGATCTTGAGCTGCAGCTGGCTGAGGCGCCGCTCGCGCGGCCCCTCCACGCCGGTGCCGGGGTTCCGGTTGTAGAGCTCGCGGTAGCGCTGGGAACAGACAGGAGAGCCCAACCTCGCCGCAGCCCGGAATTCCGTCCCGCCATTCCCCAGGGAAAGGGCAGCTGCCCCTCGCCCAAACATTTCCCATCTCAGGCCTTTTGGACAAGCAGGAGGGGGTCAGGCCCGCCCAGAAAGTTGGGATGAGCTTATCCCGGTGCCCGGAGCTCGGAGCAGGGAATGCCCATCCCGAGGGCTGCTCTTCCCTAAGGAAAACCCCCGGCCCGGCCGATAATCCCGCTGATCCCCTGGCGGGATCGCGCTCCGGGCACTCACATTTGATCAGCTTCACCACCTCCAGGTGGGAGCTGTTGGTCACCATCGTGCCGTTCACCTGCGGGAAAAGGAAAAGGGGGCCGGAGGCTGGAACGCGGGGCGGAAAAGCCGCCGGCGCCAGCCCCGCTCGTCACCTTCACGATCCGGTCGCCTTCCTGCACGCCGGCTCTCATGGCTGCTCCGCCTGGAATG